CGTTATAACCAATCACACACGAGTCTGTTGAGTTTATGAACGCAGCGGCCAATCAGAGGCGTTTAGATGAGTCATCGCTGAAACACCGGAGTTTTGTTTAGTGTGCGCGCTCGCTGAGTGTATTCTCTCATCATAAACAACAAAGTGCAGATGTATGCAAGTAGGAGATTCATTAATGAAACAGTGTATAGACAGCTTTACTGATTATAAGGGGACTTTTTGAGAGTGCTTAAACTCGCGCTAAACTGAAGTCAGGCATACTGTTCTTTGACAATGTAACGTTAAATGTTCTTTGTTCGCTTTCTTTATATAATTTATTCGCTGTTTGAATAACTTTGGAAGGTACAGGTCATATAAAAAAAAAAAAATTAATTACATCCGTGAACATGACTGGGACATCTCTGGATGGTAAAAACGACATCTCCCATCATTCCACTTTCCTTCATAGCATCATCAAGCTTCGCCTTTGTTACTATTTTGAAAATGCGACCTCTAGCGGTGAAAACGTACATATTGTGCCTTTAAAAAAAAAAAAAAAAGATTTTCCGTAGACAAAAAAGTGAATTGTGAAAATACATGATACAAGGACTTTATACTGACTGTTGTTGTAAAGACTGTAAATATATCCTCAAAGACTTGTTTTCACTGATGTTAAATTCAATACAGCATCTAACCTTACTAAGGTCTACGAAAGTGCACAAATGGCTTTTAGTAACTAATTTAAATATAGTAATATGTGACATGAGCGCATTAATTTTTTCCCTAAGTTTTACCCAAACCAGTCGCTGTATGTTAATATGCTCAGGTGACATCACAACTAGTTTGATCATGTTAAGGTGTGGTTAGGGTAATTTGAATTAGCACAATATGGAATTACACATAAGGGTGAAAAATTTCTCCATAGTGATTTCATAACAGGTTCAAGAAAACTGCTTGGTTTGAAAGTGACTTCTGTGTGAACTGTGAGCATCATGCATCATTACACTGTTGATAATAGACAATGGATCTTTTTTGCCTCCAAATTTTGCCGGGGTTGCATTTAGGCTGAGGTGAATATCATTTAAACTCGATATTATTTGCCATAACCTTGCAATTTGTTGACTGGATGTGAATGCAGCGGATACCAGCTGTCCTCAACCGCCATAAAATCATTAGCAGACCAATGTCTGAACCTACCGTCTGGGGCTGTGAAGTCTCAAACTGTTCCACCTCAAAAATTTGACTAAAAGTCTGGGCTGTGCTCTGGGCTAAATGGTGGTCGCCATTGTAGCGACGAGTGCCATGTGACAGGGCTTTATTGTCAGCCCCTATGGGAGGGCTGGGAACAGTGAAAGAGCCTGACCTTTTCCTAGCAGCACGAACCCAACAGCTCTCAAAGCCACCCGACGGGAACAAATGCCCCCGAAAAGCACAAGACAATGCTAAAATATTGGCAAATGAAGAGGCAGGGACTCAAAACATGTCCATGTAGTTGCGTAGAGTTTGCTTTATGAAAACATGATCTAAACAGACTTCACAACTTGACCTTTAATAACAGCTATGATATGAGCCGCTATAATAACGACAAGCTTTGAACTTCTGTTTAAAATGCAAATCAGCTTTCCTTTCTGGAGCGCAGAGGCTGAAATATCCCGTGTCTGGCCTCAAAACTGTGAGTTACTGAAATAAATGGGTCACATAGGCCACAAAAACTGAGACATTTTAGCATTTGATGGCTGTAATCATGAAAACTGTATACCAATTTATTTGGTGTTAGCTATGTTTGACCAAGGTAATAGCATCAGGCACTGGTTAGCATAAGAATTAGCATCTGCAGGTACACCACACCACACCAAAATACTTCAAGGGCACAGACAGTATTCTGCACCTTTGTAGCAGTTTATATTTTAAGCATTTTTTTCCAGAAAATCCACAATGTCCACATGTATAAGGGTGCATTATGGTTAGCTGTATATTCTGACAAAATCATTTTTATTTGTATTTTTTTTAAATGAACAAATAAATTAAATCACAACTATTTCATTTAATTTCATTCTTACATGTTTTTGGTTTGGAACTTTTACTTTTAATTATTTATTTATTTATATATTTATACAATATATACACATACATACAAAACTGGTGAAAACATGAATGATTTACATAATATCATAAATGAGGGAAAAAACATAAATGAGGGGGGGGACTGTT